CGCGGATCGTGTCTTCCTCGCGAGTGTGACCGTTGTCGGTCGATGCGAACCTGTCCTTTTCTTTTCTTTTCCTCTTTTCCTCCTCTCACCGAGGTTTCTTCATCACGGAAATGGGCACATTACCGCCGCTTATCGATCGGATCGCGAGCAAACACGCGACTCGTACGCACGAGCACGCGCACAGACGCTTTCGCTCGATAAAAACGAGAGACTGACTGTTTATTCTTGCGATTGTCACGAGCGAATTTCTAGCGGTAGAAAGCAACGTGAGTGGCTATTAGGGTAATTGCCAGACTCATTCTGCGGTACATCGTGAATCATTGTGTTCTGAGATAAATTCTTGTGAGGAGTTGTCGCTTAACGGCCATCTGTAGAGTGCTTTTCCTTTTTTCTGACCGTATTTATCGTAATCTTAGATATTGAGTTTATTCTCGTGTACAACCGATCTTTATTTTTGCATTTCTCGTGAAATGAGAACTTTTGTTTGCCGCGTTAAAATAAACTGTAGTTGAAGAAAATGTTAAATAGGTACTTGTTCTTAGGTTAAATAGCAACTTCCATATCCATTTAATTTAAAATCACTTAAATTTTTTTCTTTAACTATAGAAAATGTAATTATAACAAACATAACCGTTTTCTCCGTAAAATTATTAATATTTCCCTTAGTCATTAGCACTGTAGAAAAATCAAACTTTCCTTGCGACCAGCGGCATCTGTTCACAGCTGTTATATTTACTGTACTATTTCAAGTATTTGTTATAAAAAAGACAAAGTTACTTTGGTGTTATTTCTGATCTTAGTGTGCAATGACATTAAGGTGTTAAAGGTTATAATAAAGTGTAAAATAAAGATATAAAATGAAAATAATTTTTTATTATAATTCCCCGTTCTTTATATTGAATGTAATATATAAGAAAAACTTTATGTAAGTAGCTTATTTATTTCTGGTTGCATTATACATGATTAAAATTCATGTAAAGTCAAACTCTAGTCATGAATAAAAGAAAGATTCAACTATAACTAATCTTTGTAAAAATTTTAAGAAAATTCATATTACAATAAATTAATATTACAAAAACTGAAACTATTATTTTATTCACTTTTTACCTAAAAAAATTATAAATTTTCAAAATAACTATACTTTTTGACAAAATAAAATGTAATATTTTCCTGAAGATTCAAATATCGAACGAAAGAATTCTGGTGTATTAATTTCTTAAATACATTTTCAGAAGCTTTAAAATTGTATATAAACTTACTTACTTTATATATAAACTTACGTTTTAGCCGTGTTTCTCTTTTAATTTGCAATAAAATGAAATACGTAAATGAATATATATTATCACTTCTTTATATAGTTCCATTCTACAAACTTAAAAGTATATTCATAATTTTTCATAGATTTTTATAACTACTTTTACGAAATTTAAATAAACCAACTATTATTGTCCATATCTTAAAAAAAATGAAAAAATGTGGAAAAATTAGAGATTTTAATACATATTACATCTAAAAGTAAATATTATTTAATATTTATTCAGAGTCTAGATCAAAAATTCACTTTAAATAAGTTCAGCAAATATAATAACGTCTAGAAAAACCTAGTTTCTCGTGCGACCAGTATTATAGTTAAGCTTCTTGCACGCACTTTATATTCCAAAAGAAATACAACTAACAGCTGTGAACAGATGCCGCTGGTCGTAAGGAAAGTTTGATTTTTCTACAGTGCTAATGACTAAGGCAAATACTAATAATTTCACGAAGAAAACGGTTATGTTTGTTATAACTACATTTTCTATAGTTAAAGAAAAAAATTTAAGTGATTTTAAATTAAATGGATATTGCATTACAAGTTGCTACTATTATATGTCCATATATATGTCCATATATATGTCCATTGATATAGTTCTCACAATTACATACATTCTTATGATACGCAATATTCAGTTAGTATATCTTCATATATAGTTGCCTCGGCTAAAGGAACATTGCACTAAAAACAGGATTTGGTTGACAAAATCTAAATTTGATTAAAATGGAATCAACCAAATGTTTGATAATTACAATCAAAAAATTTAATTACCGTTATTTTGCTTTGCTTAATAACTAAGTAAACATATTACTGAAAAATAAGATAAAATAACGGCAATTAAATTTTTTGGTTATAATTATCAAACATTTTATTGATCCCATTTTAACCAAATTTTGGTTTTGTTAATCAAATCTTTTTTAAAATGAACTATTTCTCTGTTGTGGTCTACAAAAGAAAACTATAGTTGAGAGTTCCATAGGGTTTGGGTACGCCATACAGCACTGAGAGTACTGCTCAAACACATATGGATAGAACAAAGAAAGCCAGTATATCACTTCCATATTACTATAGTTATTACAACTATTTTGTATGCTTAGGCAAAAGATAATATTAATATTTTATTATGACAACTATATTTAAGTAAGTGATATCCCAATGTTTTTTTCCGTATAATTAAAAAATAATAACAAAAATCTTAAAATCTTTTTGTATATATGTACTTTAAATATTCAAAATGATGTATGCAAAGTTTCCTTGTGATTCAAAGAGATCAAAACTTGAAAAAGTTGGAAGTAATACAATAGATAAAATATAAAATAGATAAACTATAAAAATATTATGTTAAAGTAAAAATATATTGTTTTTCAAATGTATTCGCGTGCGGGTGTATAACATACATTTTTATACGGAAAGTAGAAATATTAACGTATTTCTAATTTTCCGTGACTTTTTGTAGGACTATACGAACAATATATCTTTAAGGTGCCAAAAAGATATATGTTATATAAAGGTTAACATAACTTGACGGCGAGCGTACGTGGGTGTCGTTGAAGTTGAAAGTGAGATTCATTTTACTTGACTGAGAATTCGCAAGAGAGCTCGCTCTCCTGGTGATTTTGATGCGACGCCAACGCATCTCTCAATGTGTTCGTGCGTGGCATAAGCAATCGGTGGATTCGCTCCATGAAAAGCTGCGGCACGCAAAAATGATAATAGTCTCACCAATAATTCATGGCTGATGTCTCTTTGTTCTTTAATATATACACTGTCTATTTTGCGGAGGAACAAGCGAGCGATTCATGCAAGTTTGCTTCACGACAGTTCCGCAATATTCGCGCCGCTTTAAATAATTAAGCGACACCGGATGTAATTGCAAGCCGTAACGCAATAAATATACTTGGCACTGGTACTCAGCGCGGCACGCAGCGGAGATATGGATTACTACGTGTAATGCGAGACGATGGGACATGCACGAATAATTAGCCCGTGATTGTGAGTAAACGAAGCCCCTCGCTACCGTTACGAATCCCGCGAAATGAATGTGGAATAGTAACTACTGGAGCGATAGAGATCTCTCTTTCTCTCGAGGCACACGCCTGTGTGATAAGTAACAACAAAGAGTGCGTCTGAAAGGGTCGAAGCGGTGTATTCGTTAACAAAATCATTTTCCTTGACGTAGATACGTCGTTGCTTTTCTCTTTTCTTTTTGTCTTTTTTGAAACGAGAGATGCTCAAGTATCTTCATTTTAGCCATAAAGTAGAATTGCTAGACGGAAAGCTTATCATTATTGATCTCAATTGTTTCTGTTCCTATTTCTATTATAATTTTGACTCTTTAATTCGGTTAGATTCTTATAAAAAAATTATTATTTTTTAGTATTCTTAACAGACTCTCAGATATAAAGTCAAATATTAAACTAACAGAAATATTTGAATGGCCTATAAAGAGGTTTATTCCTATAATTTCGGTTTATCAAATATTAAAAAACACCAATGAGATTTTTTAACACAGCTGTATATACGCTGTTAAGAGATTCACATATTTTATTAAATTGAATGATTAAATTACAAAAAGAAAAGTTAAATTCAAATTGGATTTGGATGCGCTTTAATACGCCGCTGAAAATACGATACTTAGCGATATAACTATCTCAAAAAATGTGTTTCCTTATAGAAACTAAACAATCTCGGTCTTGTGACATTAGATGTCCGATTAGTAAGACATTTATCGAATCCAAGATTTAGGCATATCACCTTAAAATTTTACAACGTAGAACGACTTTTAATCAATTATCACTACCAGCATGCGCGCGTTACGTTAAATGTCACTAAGTTGCATCTTGTATTATTATTTTTAGTGAAGCACATCCTGTACTTCATCCTTGCGCGTGAGTTTCATGGGCGTCCGTAATTCTCGAAGATATCGTATATGCGCGGTTCACTCTCACACCTTGACCTTCCTCAACCGGGAAGTCAACAACACCCTCAGGGAGTATGCACGCGCACGTAGAAGCGCGCGTATAAACGTGTCTATTATAGCGTGCCTCGGGACTGCCGGCTGACACGAACGTAATTCCGATGTAGTCCATTTTCAGGCAACGAGAACCAAGCCGTCGGTCATTATTGCCGCGGTTCGTATAATTAAGCAGATAATTGGTCACTTCCAATTAACGGTCATCTCAAATCGTCGCTTTGACCGAGAGAAAATGACGAGTCGTTCTCATCAAAATCAGACTATATTTATAATCTCCTATATAATATTCGTAATATTATAGGAAATTAAATAAATGCTTAATAATATAATATATATATATATATATATATATATATATATATATATATATAAGAATTTGTTATTATTAATATTAATATTAAATTTAATATTTATATTAAATTTAATATTAATATTAAATATTAATACAAAGTATTAAAATTAAATAATTAATTTTGAATTAATAGAATAATTTTAATATATATTAATATATATTTATAATAAACACTTAATATTTTATTATAAAAAATTATATTTATATATGCATTATTTAGTTTTCTATATACTTTTGTGATATCTTTTTGTGTTTTAGACTTTTGTATTCATCTATTTTGTTTTCTTATCAAGAGATTTATGACATTATTCTTTAAAATTGTGATTGCATTTTCCTTCTAATCGATTGTTTCAATATCTTACCGGAAGAAAGTTGATTGGCCGAGAGCACATCATCTTCTCCTGGCTGTAGACGGACCTCCATCTTCTTCAGACGCGAGTGCAAATCCCTCGTGTGCAGGAAGAGGAAAAGCGTACTGGAGATCGCTATCAAAGCGATCAGCTCGATAGTCCTGCACGCATAAAAGAAGATATACATGTTACATAATTTTTCGCATCTCGTGGTCACTTTCAAACGCCGCTTATTACTTATATGACAAGCGGCGGCAGCAACGCTCGTTTAATTTGCACACGACGGAAACAATCTACTCCCTAGACAATTTACGAATCGCGGCAAAGCGATTGCACCACGAATGTTTCTTTCACGGGGTTAAATAACGCGAAGCGCCAAGTCGATCATCTAGGTTGGCAATCAGGGAACCAGGGCACGGAGAAGGCATCCATCCCGTAATTGGTCTGTCGTCCTGTCTGGGAGATGATGTTTCTTCTCGTATGACCTGATTCTCGCAGAAGCGAATGCTCGCTGAGCGTGAAGCGCGACGAAGCCGCTTTGGTTTCGCAGGCCGATGCAACAGGTGCATCGGTCACACTGTTTACGCATGCACGAAATTGAAAAGCTACAAACGACACGTACAATGGGATCAAGATTATTAATACTTGACAGAAAGTAGAAGATTGCTACGAAAGTATATTATGTACGAATAATTATAATAATAAAAAAACACTCCTCTGCAAGTACACACACGAAAATACATATTGCATTCAAATAAATGTTACTTTTTTTAAATATTGAGTTGTATGTTTCGCGAGTCTATCATAACTTTATTTATTATAATCATCAAAGAACATTGGTAAAAAAAGGCCATAAATAATTAACTTTAAAATGAAAGATATTCCCAGTATTTCCGGGTGATTCTAATAGCACCATTATATTCAATTGGTCAATATGTAAGGAATGATAACGATTCCATATTTGTCTCAGTAGGCAAAAAACAAGCCTTTAATAGCATTGTTTATTTAGAATATTTTTTGGATACATTTTAATTAAGAATATTTAATTAAAGTAAAAATTCGGTTTTCTTACTACACAGAGTCGGACCAATTTTTTTTCGATAAAGTTCTGCAATAATATATTTATAAAAAATAAATTCTTTGTTTGAGTACATAATAATGAGCTTGTTATATAAGAAACTTGTTATAAGTATACATATTTCAAGATTATTATCAAAGATTATTATCAAAGAAATATTACTTCTTGAAGATAATTATTCCTTGAAAGAAGGAAAGTAAATTGAGTAATCGCTATTCTTAGCAATAGAATTAGCAGCAATATAATTTGCTTTATCTAGATTTCTAATACACAGAGTAAACCATTTATAATTTTAATGATAAATATCTTGTGAAATATACATCATATGAAAAAAATGTTATAGACAAAATTTCTTTGGTATTAAAGGGGACATAAGGTGATATTAGTCATATTATAGATGGCGCTGCTATAGATTAAAAAGATCAACTATATTTTTTTATGGAAAGCTCCTATTTTAATTGTTTTATGTGAAAGTAAAGGTAAAACCACTTACTTTTTACTCAGAACATCTTTTTTATTAAATGCAAATTTTTCGAGATAATCAACGTTAAAGAAAAATTATTTATTTCATGATATATTTTCATACGTATTTATGAAGAGATCTATGAGAATATGCGATAGCGTATTGTTGATACATGTGCTTATAATGGTGCACATAAATAAACTTATAAATAATATGGTTAAATTCAATAGCAAAATTGCTAAGAAAATATTGAGAAACGGCAAAATTTAGAATGAATGAAGGATAAAGTAAGGAAACGCTGTATAACTGCAATAGACGATCAAGTTCTTAATAGAATCTATTTGAAAAGTCGCACACTAACATTAAATAAATTAAAGCGTGAGTAGAAAGAGTTATCTGGCATCGTAGTTAACAGTGCTATCCAAAAGCGCTTGTGTGCGTATTCAAATTTGTTGAGTGATGTTGAAAAATTAATACCAGTGCTGTAATACAATTTTCATTAGGTAACAAAAATTACCCAATATAATAGAAGAAATTCAATCCTATCGTCGCGTACACGTCGCTAGTGTTTTCATTCTTGCAAAATGCAGTTCGGAGTTCCGGTCTTTGCTATTTCTATTATTCGATCTTCCCACTATGATTACTCAATTCACGGAATAACCGCAGTTCGGAGGATAACTGCATTGTCATCGAACTATTACTTAATTTTCTCATTACCGCGTGGGAATCAGAAGACACAATTCACCGTAAGATATGCTTTAATATTTGTAATTTTAACCAGCGAGAGAAAAATATTACCACGATACAACGCGATATCGTGATGAAAAATGGAGAAGGAAAAAAGAGAAGGAAATTATTTATCCACGTCTCTTGCTGATTTTACGTCGTTCACTCATCCGTAATATTCCTTCGATTTTCTAGGCAGGAATTTTGATGCGTGATTTAACCGCACTGCCTCGCTATGTTTTGCTTCCCTCTCATCTTCGCACACACGATCCCCTTTATATCCCGCGGGCCCCTTATTAAAATTAAAAGTCGGATGCGGTTTGCGAGTGCTAGAAGGTTACCGACCCTTGATTTAAACGCTTTACGGAAGCTTAACATCCCTCGAATGACGTCGTTTGAATGCAATCTTCCAAATGATACACGTATGTCGGCTTCGAGATTGCGTAATGTTTGTGGCTTTACACGCTTATGGCTTTTACACACGTGACACTGCGCTTCCACGAGTTGCGTATGCGTTGCCGAGAGTGCACGGGGGATAAAATGCAGACGCAATGTATTCAAATAATGTTCGACAGTTGTCGGATATGTAATGGTCTCAGAAGAATCGCTGTACGATTCAATTACCGTATAATTTCCATTAATTCTATATCAAGAAATAGTGATAATCACTAATGTATTATTAGGTTTTGATAAAATACTGTGGTGTAAATTATTCCCTAATAACGAGATAGATAATCACCAACTTTCTCATGATTAGTATGAATTGTTTCATATCTTGTATTTCTTAAACTAATTTATTGTTTTTTTAGTTCGTTATAATATTTAATTGAAAGTCTAAAAGCAATCATATATAGTGGGGTTCGCTGGTATAGGTTATAACAATATTAGTCGCATTTCAATTATCGATGAGTCGTTTGTATTATTTGTCAATAAATATATCATTAAATTTTTAAATGATACAAGAGAATATTATCATAATTCAATAAGATATTGTCACAGCTCATTGACACTAAGAGTTTTAGTTCGATTATTCAGATTAAGCAGCAGATAACTCGCGATATGAGAAAGGATAGTGATCACTACAAGATCGAAACCACATATCGATGCAAAATATGAAATACTAAATTTTTTATTATTTAAACAAAATAATCGAGTATTAGATTGTTCTATTCTGATAGATTAATTTGTGGAAATTTAACAGAAAATACCATATATAATAATTCGCTAAATAATCACTGAATCACTAAAAAGTGATTAATGACTACTATTTTTTTTTTTAATAATTACCAATAATATTTTTCTATAAAGGTATTCAGGTAGCGAAGAAAGTCATAAAGACGTCTGAAAAACACTTACCCTTTTTTAGATTTTTAACTCTCTTTTAGAAGTCTTTAACCTAAGCTACATTAGCTTAGGTAATATTTAACGCATTTCTCTTATCCCAAATGATCCGCTCTAATTTTGGTTTTAACATGATGCCATTACATCAAATAATAAAACAAATATTATTTTCACAACTAACGGAGAGTAACTATCGTTTTAACAATGTTTGGAAGCAAATTTAATAACATAAAAATTGATATATTTATAATATAACATTTAACGCGAATAAAATGTTATTTTTATGTTTTTTGAAAATATTTGCCATAGATAGAAAATAAAAAGAAACGACATTTCTATCTCGTATTCAAAATGTGAAGTATGCTGATTTACATATAGTAACTGTTACAGAAGAAAATTAACATTTGCATTTAGATTAGATTAGTAAATTATAAAGTTATAAAATATATCATCAATAACGTAGCGCGCTCGCGTATACACCTACACATACATACGCGCACATATTAATTCAGTAAAATTGATTTTTATAAAACGTCATAATAAATATGTAAATTTCGTTTACTCGTTTTTTAAATTACGTTTCAAAATTATGTGTTAATCGTAAACTTAAATATAAAATATATTGTTTTAACTGTTACAATTGTTGAATATAAGTTTTTGAATATAAATGAATATAAGTTGAATATAAGTTACAATTGTTAAATATAAGTTTAATACGAAATATTCAAACAAAATACAGGGTGTCCCAGAACACCCTTCAAAGCTCTCGTAAAGGCATAGTAGGTACTATAGATGAACATAAAAGTCCGTTTTGTGATATTCGCAATAATCATCAAGATATTAATTAAAGAAGATTTATGAACAATCACACGAGATATAATAGATGTGCTGTAGTAGTGACATCTGTCATCGTGTGCTTTTATATTAAGTCAAACTGAATAAAAAAGTTCTCTACCATTTTCTTAATAACTTTGTAGATTTTCAATTACTAATTAAGGAAGTTTGGCGTTCACGATAATATATTAATGTTATCTAATTAATAACTAAAAATCTACAAAGTTGTTAGGAAAAAAGTAGAGAACTTTTTTGTTCAATTTGACCTAATGTACAAACACACGATGGCAGATATGCCACTAAAGCTATTATATGTATTTCATATGATCATTCACAAATTTTCTTTAATTAATACCCCAATAACTATTGCGAATATCGCAAAATGTTATAGAACTTTTATGTTCACCTTAATTTGTACTATGTCTCCAGAGCTTCGAAAGTTGTTTTGAAACATCCTGTATAATGACAGTTAGTTGAATTTATATCCGCATATACATTGCATTTCTGACACAAAAATTTTGACAGGAAAGTTCTTTTAACACAAATATACAATTTTTTACTTTGGGTGACTGAAAGTAACAAGAGAAATGCTTACTTTTACATAAGAATTATGAACAAGTATCAACAAGTTATTAATTAGCACAAAAATTTCTATTTATTAACGATTGATTTCAATTTTTTGCGTAAAATAAAATTCTAACTAAATTGTGTGTGTATTT